TCCTCTCCACTTCCCCTTCCTCTTGTTTCTTGCCTCCTTAACTACTCTCCCTCTTGATGCTTGGAGGAAGCTGTTAGCTGCACTTCACTGCTGCTGGTGCTGCTGCTGCTGCCGATCGATACTTTGTGCTGTGTGTTGTGCACCTCAACCTATAGCTTGCAAAAGAGAGCATGGATCTGTCCTTGCTTTGTAAAATATGCAGTCTTATAGGAATTAAATTAAATCCTATTACTTATACAGTTAGCAGGGGTGTTGGCATTATGCAAATACGCGAGCGATGTTGAGTTTGTGTTTGGATTTGAGCAGCATTGCCAGCAGCGGGAGGGAAAATGGTTCAGAGAGTCCCAAGAGCCCCCCACTACCATCACTACACCCCATAAACTATAACATGAGACAGCCACAGCACCAGCACAACATGTTTGCTCTGCTCCAAAACCATATCCGCCCATTGGACACGCCCGGGGGAGCGCCTGCAGGCTGAGGAGTGTCAAGATCCACTTTTTTGGGGCATGTTTGGGTTTGGGAAGAGCTACTCTGCATGTGATTGTGGTTCTATACATCATTCAGATTTGTGGATGTTGAAAAACGTGCAATAGTTCCAAGATTATAAAGGTTACAGTATAGGTTACAGTATTATATGTAGATTCTATGCTGTTTGAAAACACTGCATGGGATCTAGACATAGATTGTAGATTAGGAATGGACTCACAGCAGGCTCACATAAGCTAGCTGGAGCCTAGTTCCATATATGGGCATTTATTCTGATGTTATTTGCTTCATGCCATAACAGGGGCAGATGTGTTGCTATGATGGTTGCTAAGGGAAGCTGGAGTTTTCCCCACGAATGAAGGCATCTGATTGGCTCATATCTATATCTACACAAAAATATCAGAATATAAACACCAGGATAGAAAGCGCTAAACCATAGGGTGTGTGGAGCTCCAAAACAGTTGTGCAAACTCTGTCCCCTTGAATCGTTTACTTATTTGTAAATAATACCAAATACATGAGAGGCGACAGTGGCTAAGTTGGTAGAGTGTTGGCCTTTGAGCCTGAAGGTCGTAGTTTCGAGCCCACCGTAAGACCTTCTCCACTGACTCCGACTGATGACTGCTGTCGTTGTGTACCTGGGCAAGACACTTAACCCCACTTTGCCTGAAGCCCCCGTTGAAAGATCAAGGCTCCTGTGGACTCACCTGCAAGAGGATCAGTGAGGGGCTGGTACTCTGTGTACTGGGTGCAGCTCTGACTGCCAACCCCCCCGACCCAGAAATGGAATGAGGGGAAGAAAATTGATGGATGGATGAACGAACTAAATGTGTTTTTATTTCTCCCTGTAAATAGTTATAAGTGATGATTTAGTTTAACCCTGTTTTAATGCTGTGCTAATAAAGTGTAACAGTGTAATTCACTGTTCAAAAATAATGAACATAAAAAATAGAAATAAATCAAATTATGATAATACTCAACTGTTATTTATTATCTTTGATTAATACAAACTGTCCTTTCAAAGTCAAAATCAGATCAGCAGGTTCATTTATGTTTGTTATTGCCTGAAAACCAGAAGATAGCATGGGTTTGGTCCCATTTCTTATTTCTTATTGTGATATAATAATGCAAGTCCACTTTCCTTCAGATATTTTCAAGTCGTCCTACTCCCCGTTAGTGGTCATAACCCACTATTTGTTAAACACTGGCGTATGTCCAATCATCGAACAGCCCTTCTAACCGTAATGTAATACCACTTACCACACAGATGCCACCCACGTCTTCTTCGCTCCACCCCATCTGACCACTGTCTAAACGCACGCTGCTGCCCCCTCAGGCCTGTCTGTTTCACACTCCAGCAATGGCCGAGTCCTCACACACGTCTCCATATGTGTGTGTGTGTGTGTGTGTGAGGGCCGCGTACGCACACTGGGGTCCAAACCTGCACAAGAGCATCCACGGTGGGGGCTGCGATCATTCTTATGCCGCGTCCGTGGGCCAAAGGCTGGGTGATGCATACTAAACAGTCTGTCACCCCGCCAACACCCGGCACACAACCGCTCAGGCCATGCTTGGTTGGTCTCTACCTCACACACACACACACACACACGCACACACACAGGCGCCTTGCTCAGTTGCCGGTTGTCATAGAAACCATTACCCATAGCACCTTGCAGCTCAAATCAATGGCAGCTCCAAGACGAGAGCAGGCAGGCAAAGAGCTGGAGTGGAGTTTTTAACGCAGCGCGACAGATTACTGATTGTGTTACGGAGACGGCGGCGGAAATGGAAGATTTCTAACTTTCGGGTTTCATAGTTGTTAGCTGTGGTGTTTGACGTCTAGCCCTGTTTGCAGACACATATTAGCATGTTGGATTAGCATTTGGCTATATATGGAGGTTCTTTTTTCGAAATTGACGATCGTTTATTACAAATTTAAACCAAACTATTACATCTCGGAGGTAGTGCTTGATAGAAATGTTGCATGAAACTAACACTTATGAATTTTGCCACATATAAAGGACTGTTTTTCTCCACCCAAAAGATATTTTGTGTTGAAGTGGTGATCAATTTGGCAACAATAAATGTCTCATCATCTTCAAACCCCAGAAATTGTGACGTAGGTTTATCAATTAAGAAGGAACTGGTTTGTGTCCATGTTAGCTCTATCCATGGAAAAAGAAATCCATCTTGTTATAAAAAAGAATATGTACTTTAAACAAAAAAATCAAATTAAATCATGTATATTGTTTGCGTTCATGTGACATCAAAGCGTTCCAAATAGCCTATTAGAATTGTGGTGGAGGGCAGCTGAAAAAATATTTCCTGGTAACTATGGTAACAGTGAAAAGTCAGATTTGTTGTCAGAGAGAGATATTTCACAAACTTCCACATCTTCTTTGTCAGCACTTATCAACTATGGTCTAATTATTTACTCATGAAGGAGTCTAGAAGTGGTGACAATAATCAAAATTCTTTGTGAAGAAGCGGATTTGAACATTACCTAGCTGGAGCCAATATCCTTATATGGGCGTTTGTTCCAACAGGGTTAGCTTTGTGCCGGAAAAAAGTTGCAGACATGTTGCTATGGTGGTTGCTAAGGGAAGCTGGAGTTTTCCCTGCGAATGAAGGCGTCTGATGCTAACAACAAATTGAAAATATGTAAGTAAGTAGTTTATTGGTATAGCTCCTTTCACAGAACAAGATCAAAAATTTGCTTCATGTTTTAAAACACACTATAAAACAATACAAACATACAAATACAAAAAAAACCAGATGTACAGAAGCATGTATCATCCAACACAACCTATTTCCAAAACAAAGTCAATTTTTATTTTTTTATCGAAGCAAAGTCATTTCACAAGCCCAACTGTCTGAAGCCGGCGGTTCTCCCGTGTATAGTTTACTGATAAGCACGGCGTCATTCGCAGCTCCAGATTGCCGCAACCACCAGTACACTGTCAATGTTTTACAAATTGGATTCAAGCCTGGACTAAACACACAACCATTTCTGGACATGTTGCGGAGAGCGAGCGAGAGAGAGGCAGGTCAGTCATTTAATTTAGAGGAATAATGTGTTTGTCCCAACTCGCTAATTACCTTGTTTGTGTTGATGGCTCAAAATATAGCAACAATGCCAAGAAACAGACAAATAAAATGAAGAACGGCAGCGACGACACAGATGTGACCCCGCCCTTGTCCCTAAAATGCACCCTGTCTGTCCCATCTGCTCCGTCAGATGCTAAAACACGCACACACACACAAATATTGGCACGAAACACCAGGACAGAGCTCTGTTGTCGACGCACACTCCAGCAGGTACCACGTTTACGGCTCTAGAAATGATCAGATACACGCAGGGATTGAATTGTGCCACAAGTAAACGGATTTGTTGACGTTTTATCGATGGGAGATTTCATTTTTCATGTTTAAGAATTGTATTAAAGTTGGGATGGCAGATGCTTGGACACTATCCAGGACTGAACTTTTTGAGGAGGCCTGAGACTTCTTTTGTTCTTGTTTATAGCTGTATTAAGTCTGGAATTCTTTCTTTTGAAATCTTCATAAATTGTAATCATTGTGCTTTTCCCAAGCCATGTTAGGCTTTTAGAGAGGCCAAATGAACAGGCATAAATATTACAAATATAATATTGTTTGAACTAGTGTGAGAGTTAAGCAGATCCATCAAGTGTCTTAAGTGTCTTAGTTTTATTCGTTTCTTCAAAAGTATGTATTAGTTTTTGTGAACTTGTGAACTGTGACTTCGTCTTAATGTTGTTTTGTCTGAATATAAATACAATTTGGCGTAAAACTTTCCTTTTTACATTGAAAACATGTAGCCTTGGCTAAGTGAAAAGGTTTGTATTGAGGCGAGTCACTTTGACAAAACATCCATAATTGACAGATGTACTTATTTTTCGTTTAAACAGAGTTACATTTCAATATATATATCACAAAGAAGCCGTTATTGAACCACTTCACACAAAAGCCAGTCACCACCAGGACAGATGAGAAGTGCACCTTTAAGCCTTAAATTACCATACTTTTTTGCCGCACCACCTGAAATTGTAAAAGTAAATTTTGTCCACATATAGGCCGCACCTTATTATATGCTGCAGGTTTTCATGTTGTAATGTAGCAGATGATTTTAATGACGATTTCATTAACAGCTCCCATGCCCATACTTATTCTCCAGTCTACTTTGACATTAAATGAGTGTCCTATTGATGGGGTCAAAATAATAACTCCATAAACTCTGCTTTGACAACTATACCACAATGAAATGGCCATATTAGCTGCATCGCTATATTAGCCGCAGTTGAAAAAGTAGTAGCTTATAGTTGAAATAGTAGCTTATAGTTGAAAAAGTAGTAGCTTATAGTCCGAAAATACACAACACATTTAGCAGTCTTTCAATACTCCATATACTCCATACATAAACACATATTTTGCAATAATCTACCCACTTTTAGACCTTTTCTTCCATCGCCATAACCATTCTAAACTGCTCTTCAGAACTTTTGCATCGCTACATCCCACACTTGTCGATCAGCTCTGGTGTGTGGGCTCTGGGCGGCCGGCTGCATATCCAAATGGGTGCGCGATCCAGCATCAGTAGGCACAGACTGACGGGGCGCACCGAGCGGGAGGCGGGGCGCGCACAGCTCTGGGGGGAGATTATGTGGTGAATTTTGACTTGTTTTTTGGTTCTGGAGGAGAAAAGAGGTGGTGCCGCTGGCGTGGTGGTGCGGGGAGATCGTCTCCGCGCTGCAATTTACCTCAAACGGCTCCGACACGGCTAATCCGCTCTTAAAGGAGCCTAATCCAACGGGCTTGTACCTGATACTGAGGAGAGAGCGTGGCACAGAGGGAGGAGAGGAGGCGAGGGAGACGCAAGCGCAGAGCAAGAGAAAACTCCACTGCATTTAGGTCTATGTACAAGCACCACTGGAGTTATGTGGAGAAGTGAATTTTCAATTTATGTTTTCAGGATTGATCCATGATAGAAACAAGTTCACATACAAGCTTTCACTATGTCAAAATGTTCAAACATGCGTCCTTAGCTATGCACAGGTGTGTTAGATTGACCGAGTGCCCATAGTCACCCATACTGTTAGTCTTAATGCAGAAGAAGCCAATTAGAGCTAGCTCGAACAGGCTACTTTAGCGTTACCAATCAGGAGTGGCGCCGGTATGTCCCCGCTCACGCTACTCGCTAGATCAAGCTGAATGCGGTGACAGAAGACGCCTGATTGGTCAGTTGTTAACGCTCATATCTGGATTTACAAAGAAGATATCATATTATAAACACCAGGATCACAGAGAGCGTGACGCAAACGGTTATTGAGCTATAGAAGCCTTTGTGAGTAGGAGCAAAACTTTGTCCATGAGCGTTTCCCTGTTGGGCAAGGGGCTTTGCATTATCCATCAGGAGTGTTTTTCCTGTTCCAGAAAGGGCCTTTTAGCCTGAAAATAGATGAATATAACACATTTTTTTCATCGCCACTGGAAAAGTATATGATCTTTCTGGTTCTGGGTGATAATTGGCAAACTTCAAATGGATATTTTGGTTTGATGACGGTGGAGAGAGATGTTGAGGTTTTGCCACTCAACAGCAGAAGGAAGATGTCATAAAATAAAAGGTATTATTCTGTAAATTGTGCGTTGAATAGAAATGTAATGTCCATTATATTCAAATGGAAAATGGGACAGTAATGAAAATTGGCACAGATACATTGAATATGCTACAGAGTACTTCACACTTGAGTGAATGAGCCATGTGTAATTTTCACAGCCACGATGAGGAAAAACATGGTCTGTAAAAGATATTCTAATAGCAGACCAATTTCATTATTGCAACCAAGAAAAGAACCCCGTGACTGTATAGTGTATTCGGGATGGACATTTTTGGCATGACCCATGTTCTTCCCCAACTGCGTATGGCCTCATTTACTTTCATAAACAGAAATACACCCGATCTTACTCTGCACATCTGGGCATTAGGGCTGGGCGATAGAGCACCTGTATAATTTTGAGGGATGAAACTGCTTTACTGGAATAGCATTTGGGTCGACCAGCACTGTTGTTGTTTACCTCTGGTCTGAGCGCGTGCAGTGAGGAACACAGTGGCTGCAGCAGAGGAAGGCAGAAAGCAGCACATCGACGAGCGAAGTGGACCTGATTGGCTCTTTTGTTGCTTTGAAGTTGCTATGAGAGAATTTGGCTCCAAAAACCTGCCCACTTGAAAAAGAGCTACAATCCCAATTGAACCTGTTGCCAGCGCCTTAAGAGAACACACGTTTGTTATCATTTTCAGTACATAAACAGCTGTGTGTGTCTTTAGCTCCATACACTGCAAAAAATGACGGAATTAAAGAAAAAAAATGCGCAAGTTTGGCTAAATGTAGCTAAATTTGAGCACATTTTGACTGCCTTAAAACAAGATTTGCCAGCGGAACAAGAAAAATTATCTTGTTTTAAAAAGATACAAGACATTTCTCTCTTGGAATGAGATATTAAAGCAAAAGTTCTTGAATCAAGTCAAAATTGCTTGTCTCATTGGCAAATCTCGTTTTAAGACAGTCAAAATAAACTTGATTTAAAATATTTACAACTAATTTCAAGCAATTATTTTCTCATTTTTGATCATTTTTTGCAGTGTATACGCTGCTGAGGCTGCACCAGCTCTGATGAATGTCACAACACGACCACCATGTCTCATTCTATTGTGAGGATAAAACACAATGTTATTATTAATGCAATTTTTATTTGTCTTTGAGGATTATGATATTATAGATACAATGTTTTATTATGTTGAGCCATATGCATTCATCATGTTAGTATGCTAGTCTTCCGGACAATATTGTGAACAAAATAACATCCTTTTTGAGCCAAACCGGGTGTAATAATTATAAATGTTGTACAGATTCTCCCTGTAGCATTTTCTTTTTGTATTATCATCCATTCTGTATATTTGTTGCCCAAGTGTGTGGCTACAGGGCTTGCTGTATGGCGCAAAATTTTGTATTATTATGGCCAGAAATAAAGTATTCAAATTCATAATGCCACATAACTGGGACAATGGAAAAATACTTGGAACAGAAGAACAAAAAGATGGAGAGACGATTTAAATCAAGGACCCTCAGCAGAGACGAGGGTGCCCACATCTTGCCTCACACATGGGATTCACTCCTCCAGAGACCGTAGCGTGGGGAAAGGGGGGGGGGGGGGGGTACCCGGTACCAACAGCTGATAGCACTAGCTTCTGTACACTTTAGTCTTGTTAAAAGAACCTTCTAAGCCCTAATATTGAAAGCATTTGTTTTTTTATCCCTTGCCCACTCCCCCACCTTCTCTCTATGTTCTCACACTTCACATTTTTCTTGCTCTTTTTTTCTTGTTGTTGTTGAATATCTGGCCCTCTCCTCTTGCCGATGCACTCTGGGTTTCCAGGAAAAATGACTCCAAATAAACTTAAACGCAGGGCAGTGATTGATGGTTGCGCAGAGCTCCTTTCTCTCCATCGTTTCCCCCTTTTTCTATGTCTCCATTCCCTCTCTCTCTCTCTCTCTCTCTCTCTCTCTCACAACCGCCGCCGCTATCTCTCATTCATGCGCAGTTTGTATGGTTTGATTAATTATCGGAGTCAACAGGATACTGGCTTGTGCAACATAGTCATTTCTCTATAGGCTTCTACACACACAATGGCGCCTGTGCTTCGTATTTGGCTATCGCTCAGAATTTGTGTAAAGTTATCAAGTCTGGGTTGGGGGGATTAGCTACAACCTTGAATTTAATTTCCTAAAATGCGTTTAGATGATTAATCCCATAATGTAGCTATATGTACAGGTGCTCCCAGTGAATCACATATAATTAGATTGCGTTGGTCCCTTTGAGCTTATTAATAATGGAGGCGGTGACCACACTGGACAGCAGCCAGCTCCGTTATGAAAGTAAACGCCTTTTTATTGTTAGCTAAAGAAAATATGAGTAATTTTAGATGCAAGAACACAATGTCTACATTTTTATCTTGACAATATCTATTTTATTCTTACACTTTTTTTTAAAGACATGCAGCGCAAAGGAATCAAATACATCAGAAGACAGTCATTTCAAATACATAAAAAGAACAAGATTAATAGCATAAAAGGTTAGTTCTGAAATCATCTGAAAGTCAGTTTTAGGCTTACCAGGTGTACATGAAAAGTACAGAAGAATACTATTACTCAAACATAAAGCAATGATGACAGGAAACCACCATGAAATGTTTTGAAAGATTTTTTTTCTAACTTTGCTAATATTCTGATAACTACTTGCATCTTTTCTGTTTGTCTGTGCATTTCATAAAGTGTGAATTAGACATTGATTGTGCTCTAAATATTTGAAACCACTAAAAATTAACTATAAAATAAAAAGGTTCCCCGCTCTCCAAACAGGAACTACACTGGTTTTAGATTAATTTTTCACATGCACATTTTTCAGCCTCTGTCACATCTTTAGACTAGGATTTTTAGACATTTTTTTTGTTCTAACAAGATAAATATAGCCTGATGTGTTCTGATTTGTTCGCAAAATGTTACTTAAACAGGTTTTTTTTTCTGTTGTGTACAAACAAATGTACACAATATAAAATAAAAAAATTCATAAAAAAGTTGGGTACTAGCTTTTGGAAGAGTATCAAAAGACAAAAATTCACATGTTTGAACTTTCTTTTTGGATACTAAATGTAATGTTGTGATTTTTGCACAGGCCAATCATATTCAGTTCATGTATGAAATATGCTGCATTAATACATTATCTTTCTTCCTCACCATGTGCCAAGATATTTTTTGTTTCCTTTACTGGACATTAAAGTGCACCTTCCCTTCATCTTGTACAAAATGTCAACCACCTTTCCCTCTCGCTGACGTCATGCCGATGCGAGCACAGATTTCCTGAATACACTTGAACGCCTCGCGTGTTGTGTGACGCCAGCAGCTCCATCTATCAGACGCACTGACGGCCGCCGTGTCTTATCAGGCACAGAGCAGGACACCTATCAGGGGTCCTTTTGTCTCCTCTGTCGTGATAAGTCCCATATAAGGAACAAGGAGCGAGGGATGAAAAATGCTTGAATTGATTATATTGTGGGTTTGTAATAGAGGCAAAAAAATCAGGCATTTTACAGAAAGAGGAATTATAGATAATGACTGTGGTTACACGGCCCAAATGTTCAGAAGGAAAGTAGAGCTGTGGGATTTTTAATCGGAGTAGAGGATAAATAGCATTGTTTATCATTAAATTTGGATTGGACTTAAAGCTGAACTAACTGACTTTATTTTTGTATTCATTACGAAAATGCTATCCATGTCCATGCAGTGCATTGGGATATACGTCCTTTTGAAGAAAAAGTAGCGCAGATTTGTACTGGCGTAACATAATATTTTAGATTGAGTTTTGATGAAACAAGGAAGAGAATGTGTTTCGGGTCGCAGATTGTGACCAATCACAGCGGACCACTAGCCCCCACTTTCGTAAGAAATCTACAGGTCCGTTAGCACAGACGGCTGAGTTAGCACAACAAGTGGCGGAGCTAACCTGAAGCTTCGTGTGTCTTCGTCACCGGGTACTGCTTACACAGAGAAACAGCCATCCAAAAGAAAGTCTCGTTCCTCCGCGCTTCCCGGTTCTATCGTTCTATGGTCACGGCATCCACGTGCAAATCCATATCCATGTATTATCCATATTGGAAGACGCTAGCTTCGTCAACAACACTGTGTGTGTGTGGGGGGCGATAGCTTCGTGGGTGCGGGGAGGGGAGCAGAAAGAGCGAGGCCAGCGGGTCTGCGGCTTCAAAATCCCAAAGTCAGTTAGTGCAGCTTTAAAGTTATATAGGAGGATTTTCTACTTCCGGGTGAATCAACGAGACTATTGTTCCTCTCTATTG